TTTATTGTCAAATATATATAACCCAAATCAAAACAGACATACTGAAACAAAGGCACAAACACATGCACACACTCTCACACTTATAAAGACATAACCTGTGAAACAGTCTGGGATAAAAATAAACTAGTTTTCATGAAGAGACAGTGAGGCATTTGATGTCCATGGATGTCTCTTTGCTGATTGGCTCATTCATCTGTCTTTCTTACAGCTCATCCCGCCTGCCTGTCACTCTTTCTCTTTCTTTGCTCCTCTCTTTGCCTTGGCTTCTTCCGCTGCGGGCAGATTTTAAGGCGCTCTCGCCCTCACCCTTCTCTTCTTTTACTACACTTTTTCCATTTGCAGCCCATAATTCTTCAGCTTCCTCACGTTCCTAAGATGAAAACATATGAGTTAGTGTACAAACATACAACACTTTTCCTCTTTTAGTTAGTCTTCAAGTTTCCATAACAGTTTCTCACCATATCTCTGTGGTGCTTTTCAGTGGTGAACCAGAGCGTCAATGCACATCGTCGACCCGCCGTTACTGCAGTAACACCATGGGGATTGACTGGTCCTGATGTAAATCCAACCAGTCGCCCACATTTTGGCTTAACCATTGCCTGGGAGAAAAAAAACGAGATGCTGAGATTAGGTCTCATTCACTAATCATGCATATGCACTAATTTGTGTGTAAAATCTGAGTATAGCAAATCATGGTTCAACAATAACGTTTGCACTAAAATTCATTCTTAATTTACGTATGCAAAAAGGTTGTGCAGATATGACTAACCTAAGGCACAGTTTAGAATACTCCAAATTCATTATATTAGAATGAGGTTAAGAACAAATTAATGGGTGTACGCATATGTTGTGAATTAGACAAAAAAAATTGTGAAATGCTCTCCTGTGCGTACAAATAAGAAAAAAATCCATGAAGTTATTAGTGAATGTAATGGGAAGACCCATTATTTTTAATGTTATACAGGAGATTTTTACATCCTTATATACTGTGTTAGAGATAGCTTATGAGAAATGTATAAACATGGATCTAAATAAAAGAAAATCATTTAGTGAATACTGGGATGAAGAATCTTACAGTGGCTGTTTGGCATCTCGATCAGCGAAAAAGAAATCACCTCCTTCAAAATCATCATTCAGGTAAAGAACTGCACTGCAAAGGCAACAAGATAAACAAAATCACAGTGAGTGCATAACAGAAGAGTGTGGAAAAA